TCACGAGGAGGAGCAAGACGATGATGATGACGAGGGAAACGTCAGTGGGGTGATGCACTGATGGCATGCATTGCTCTACAAACCTCCTCGCCATCACTCTGTATATATCAAGATTGTCAAGTATGTTTCTCGACCAGTGGAGGCAAAGCAGTACTGGAGCTCTCTGGAATGGTTCAAGACCATCCTGCTCGAATACTAGCTGATACCGGTGCTGGTTTGTCCATAGTTTCAGATTCTTTCATTAGTAAGTACCAAATACCAACAAAACCCATAAAAACAAGATCGATCCATGGTGTCACCGGACACCAGCTATCCATCAATAGTGCTGCGAGCATGCAGGTAACTATTGGTAACCACAATCTGGGTGTGGTCGAAGCTTCAGTGGCCAACACTGCCGACTACGACCTCATCCTAGGGTTCACTGAGCTAAGGAAGCTCAAGCCCACCATACGATGGGATACGGGCCAGCTGGAGTTCAAGACTCAGGAGCAGGACCGACCCCCGAAGAGACCCCCTGAAGCAGCAGGAGCAGGGGACCTAACCATGAGGAGACCAACCCTTCATGGTAATGAGTTTGTCTCAGCAGAGCGCATACTACGAGCAGCTCTGGAAGATGGACCCATAGGGTTCATGCTGTTGGAGGAACCACCATCATCACTCCCGGCCTTTGGTTTCGTACCTACAGGCACCGACAAAGGAATCGAGATGGAGGTGGAGGTGGACAAGGTGGTGACGGCTGCGGACATACCAAAGCCATACCAACACTTGAGAGATGTGTTCGATGAGGTGGAAGCAGACAAGCTGCCCCATCATACCGAGCATGATCTCCACCTCGAGTTGATAGAAGGAGGCAAGCCACCTCAAGGGCCTCTATACCTTAAGGGACCCAAGGAGATGTCCGAGTTGAGGAGGTACTTGGATGAGAACCTCGAGAAGGGGTTCATAAGACCATCGAAGAGCCCAGCACGATCACCAGTGCTCTTCGTACCAAAGAAGGATGGAGGTCTCAGACTCTGTGTCGACTACAGAGGTCTCAACGAGATCACTATCAAGAACAGAGCACCATTGCCCCTCATCGAGGAGCAGCTGTTCTTGCTCAGGAAGGCAAGGATCTATACCAAGCTAGACCTTAGAGCAGCATACAACCTCATCCGGGTTGCTAAAGGAGATGAATGGAAGACAGCGTTTGGCACTCAGTTGGGACTCTATGAGTACCTAGTGATGCCCTTCGGCCTAGCCAATGCTCCGGCTCACTTCCAATCATTCATCAATGTCATCTTCCGAGACATCATTGGAGTATATGTGGTAGTATACTTGGATGACTTCCTGATCTTCAGTGACACTGAGGAGGTACATGTGAAGCATGTCACCGAGGTCCTCACTCGCTTAAGGAGCAACAGGCTCTTTGCTAAGCTGTCCAAGTGTGAGTTCCACACCAAGACGGTGGAGTTCCTAGGTTACATCATCAAGCCAACGGGTATTGAGATGGACCCAGAAAAGATACGGACTGTCAAGGAATGGCCGATGCCGGCGTCTATCCATGACATCCAACGGTTCCTGGGTTTTGCTAACTTCTACAGGAGATTCATAGCTCACTTCGCTCGGATAGCCAAGCCATTGACATCACTGGTGAAGCCGACGGAACGCTTCAAGAAGTTTGAGTTGCCGGAGGAGGCCCAACAAGCCTTCCATCAGCTCATTCAGGCGTTCACATCAGCAGGAGTGCTTCAGCACTTCGACTACCATCTTCCAACAAGGTTGGAGACCGATGCAAGTGACTTTGCTATAGCAGGAGTACTCAAACAGGAGCATGAAGGACGATGGCACCCAGTGGCCTTCTACTCCAGGAAGATGTCGTCTGCCGAGAAGAACTACGAGATCCATGATAAGGAGCTCCTAGCTGTGGTCGCCTGCCTCACTCAGTGGCGACACATGCTAGCTGGACTACCTAGTCAACTAGTCATCCTCACGGACCATGAAGCCCTCAAGTACTTCAAGTCCCAGCGACGCATCACTGGCCGACAGGCTCGATGGGCAATGATACTAGCAGACTTCGACTTCATCCTGCAGTATCGACCAGGAGACAAAGGTGGTGAACCCGATGCTCTCACCAGAAGGGCAGACATGCAACCAGCTGGTGAAGAGCAGGATCACAATGTGAGGCAACTACTGCCTCCTCGGGTGTTTGCGGAAACAGCGGACCATGACTCGATCCTATTGGCTCCCATGCTCTCGATGGAGTCCATAGCATCAAAAGGGCTCAAAGACCTGGTCGAGATCTTCCAGCCCTTAGATCAAGAGCTACAGGAGATACACTCGAAGAAGCCCTTCGAGCTCAAGGACGGCCTATGGTACAGTGGAGGAAGGTTAGTCATCCCCAAGGTGACCATGCCAGGGAGGACTAACAACCGACACTCAAGGAGTGCCAAGGAAGTAGATGGACAGTCTCTCTCTGTAGAGCACCTGCGATTCATGGTGATGACTCAATGTCATGATGGTGTTACTGCCGGACATGTAGGAAGAGATGCTACCATCAAGGCAGCTCAACGGCACTACTGGTGGCCAAGCATGACAGCTTGGATTGCTGACTATGTAGCTAGCTGTCCAGTTTGTGCGAGGTACAAAGCTCCTCGTCATCGTCCGTATGGCCTTCTACAGCCACTTGCCACACCAGACAGGCCCTGGGGCTCGATATCCCTCGACTTCATTGAAGGACTACCACCTTCAAAGAACTATGACTCCATCCTCGTCATTGTCGATAGGCTGACCAAGTTTGCCATCCTGGCCCCGACCCATAAGACAGTCACGGCCAAACAAACTGCAGTGTTGCTATATGGACACATGGTTAGACTCTTCGGTTACCCTGATCACATGGTCTCGGACCGAGGCAGGCAGTTCATATCAGGAGCATGGAAAGCCTTTGCAGAGCAGATGGGTGTGAAGCACTCACTTAGCACGGCTTATCATCCTCAAACTGATGGTCAGACAGAGAGAGTCAATCAGGTCGTGGAGCAGTACCTAAGGATGTACTGCAACTATGAGCAGAACGACTGGGCAGACCTGCTGGACACTGCAGCCTTCGTATACAACAACACGGTCCACAACAGCATTGGTGTCTCACCATTCTTTGCATGCTATGGATGGAACCCCAAAGCTCATCCTGACATCCCTCAACGACTAGGAGTCAATGATCCAGGTCGCTTCGAGTACCTCATGGATGGGAAGGAGCGTTGCAAGTATCTTCAGGAGCAGATCAGGGAGGCACAGCGTCGGACAGTGGACCAGTATAACAGGAAGCACAAGGACATCGAGTTTAAGGTGGGTGATATGGTCTATATCAACCGCCGGAACTGGAAGACCAGGCGACCTACACCAAAGCTGGATACCCGGTTTGCAGGACCCTATCCAGTCCAGGAACGAGTAGGACGCCGAGCATACAGGATCACATTGCCAGCAAACCTTAGGGTTCATGATGTGTTCCATGTCTCCATGCTCGAGCCAGCAAAGACTAGCTCACTTCCTCACAGGACAGACCAGCCAATCATACCATCACTTCCTGATGAAGACCTCGACTTCGAAGTAGAAGCACTCATTGACAAGCGCTCATTCAATGGGACTACGGAGTACAAGGTGTTGTGGAGAGGGTACTCAGAGGAAGCTGCTTCATGGGAACCAGTAGAGAACCTCAACTGTCCCGACCTCATCCAGGAGTATGAGGTGTCGGAGGGGGGACGAGTGAGCAGAAGAAGGAGGAGAGAGCAGGAGGAGGAGTAGGAGGAGAGGAGCTAGTATGAGCAGGAGGAGGAGTAGGAGGAGTGGAGCTAGTATGAACCAGACACAGAAGCATGACTAGCCTCAACGGAGCTCGGCTCTTAAGAGGGGGGTAGTGTCATAGGCCTTAGGACACGGGCATGGAGGTTCATAGAAGGGGAGCATAGAGTACCAAGGCTCGGGTCATAAAGGAAGACCACCATAGCAGGCCTAAGGATGGTTGAGCAAGAGGCCGGAGGCCTAGCTGGAGAGTAGTAGCAGGCGTAGTGGGAGAGCAACTTGACCGGCCTGTATGCAAGGAGGTCCAAGCACGTCATGGAGGACCGGCCTGTATGCAAGGAGGCCCAAGCACGTCATAAAGGACCGGCCTGCTGACAAGAGGTCACTGGTAACCGGCAAGCAGCTCATGAGGAGGAGGAGCAGTGTCGATGGAGTCGACACAACTCATGAGGAAGAGGAGCAGTGTCGAAGGAGTCGACATAGCTCATGAGGAGGAGGAGCAGTGTCGAAGGAGTCGACACAGCTCAAGAGGCACAGGGGTGCCAAGCAGGAGAGGCCCCTGAGCAGTACTCGATGAAGAAGGCACTCTCTGGAGAGAGAGCAGGAGCAGCATCGCTGGCGATACTGTGAAGAGGTATATAACCATGCTTTCTCATCATCATAGGCCGAGTGGAGCCCATCCACTCTACTCACCATATAACTAGTCAATACTTAGAAACACAAGTACTCATTAGTTAACAGTCAGCATAGCAGCAATCCATCAAGATTGCTCCTCATCGTAGTGCGTGTGTTGTATCACCACTACCTGACAATCCGTAGGCGCCCATAGCAGGCAGCGGTCCGGATATAGATAGAACCGAAGGCAGTAGTCCACTGCGGTCCGGGGATCACTCAGCATTAGTCAGCACACTGGACACTCGTGTTGACGCCACCAACCTTATCACCAACACCATCAACCTCATCATCATCAACACTCACACCAGACCTTGGTGTCATCATAACATTGATATCGATCGTGCCGAGCTACCCCTGAACGGAGTGTCCACAGAGGTCAGCCGAAACCTACGATAGGATATACAACAAACGCCACCTGCTGTCACTGCACAACTTGATAGTCACCGAGTATCTCGAGACAATAGCTGTCGCACAGTTTGATAGTCACCGAGTACCTCGACAGACCGACCTGGGTTTCAGGCGCGAGACCCCTGACAGCCTTCTACTCTAGGAAGATGTCTTCTGCCGAGAAGAACTATGAGATCCATGATAAGGAGCTCCTAGCTGTGGTCGCCTGCCTCACTCAGTGGCGACACATGCTAGCTGGACTACCGAACCAACTGGTCATCCTCACTGACCATGAAGCCCTCAAGTACTTCAAGTCACAGAGACGCATCACAGGTCGACAGGCTCGATGGGCCATACTACTAGCAGACTTCGACTTCATATTGCAGTATCGACCAGGCGACAAAGGTGGTGAACCCGATGCTCTCACCAGAAGGACAGACATGCAACCAGCTGGTGAAGAGCAGGATCACAATGTGAGGCAACTACTGCCTCCTCGAGTGTTCAAGGAGACAGCAGACCATGACTCGCTCCTAGTGGCCCCCATGATCTCGATGGAGTCCATAGCATCAAAAGGTCTCAAAGACCTGGTCAAGATCTTCCAGCCTTTAGACCAAGAGCTACAGGAGATACATAGGAAGAAGCCTTTCGAACTCAAGGATGACCTATGGTACAGTGGAGGAAGGTTGGTTATCCCCAAGGTGATCATGCCAGGGAGGACCAACAACCGACACTCAAGGAGTGCCAAAGAGGTAGATGGACAGTCTCTCTCTGTAGAGCATCTGCGATTCATGGTGATGACCCAATGTCATGATGGTATCACTGCTGGACACGTAGGAAGAGATGCTACCATCAAGGCAGCTCAACGACATTACTGGTGGCCAAACATGACAGCTTGGATTGCAGACTATGTAGCAAGTTGTCCTGTATGTGCTAGGTACAAAGCTCCTCGTCATCGTCCATATGGTTTGCTACAGCCACTAGCAACCCCAGACAGGCCCTGGGGCTCCATATCCCTCGACTTCATTGAAGGACTACCACCATCAAAGAAGTATGACTCCAAGACCTATGACTCTATACTAGTCATCGTCGACAGGTTAACCAAGTTTGCCATACTAGCTCCAACCCATAAGACAGTCACAGCCAAACAGACTGCAGTATTGCTATATGGACACATGGTTAGACTCTTCGGATATCCAGATCACATGGTCTCGGACCGAGGCAGGCAGTTCATATCAGGAGCATGGAAGGCATTTGCAGAGCAAATGGGTGTGAAGCACTCACTTAGCACGGCTTACCATCCTCAAACTGATGGTCAGACAGAGAGAGTCAATCAGGTCATAGAGCAATATCTCAGGATGTACTGCAACTATGAGCAGAATGACTGGGCCAACCTGCTGGACACTGCGGCCTTTGTATACAACAACACGGTCCACAACAGCATTGGTGTCTCACCATTCTTTGCATGCTATGGATGGAACCCCAAAGCTCATCCTGACATCCCTCAACGACTAGGAGTCAATGATCCAGGTCGCTTCGAGTACCTCATGGATGGAAAGGAGCGTTGCAAGTACCTCCAGGAGCAGATCAGAGAGGCACAACGTAGATCAGTAAACCAGTATAACAGGAAGCACAAGGACATCGAGTTTAAGGTGGGTGATATGGTCTATATCAACCGACGAAACTGGAAGACAAGGAGACCCACACCCAAGTTAGACACCCGGTTTGCAGGACCCTACCCAGTTCAGGAACGGGTAGGACGCCGAGCTTATCGAATCACATTGCCAGCAAACCTTAGGGTGCATGATGTGTTCCATGTCTCCATGCTCGAGCCAGCAAGAACAAGTTCTCTTCCTCAACGTGCTGAACAGCCCATCATTCCATCACTTCCAGATGAGGACCTCGACTTCGAAGTCGAAGCACTCATCGACAAGCGTTCACACAATGGGACTACGGAGTACAAGGTGTTGTGGAGAGGGTACTCAGAGGAAGCTGCTTCATGGGAACCAGTAGAGAACCTCAACTGTCCCGACCTCATCCAGGAGTATGAGGTGTCGGAGGGGGGACGAGTGAGTAGACAGAGTGGAGAGAGGAGGAGAGAACAGGAGGAGTAGAGAGAAGAAGAGGAAGGAGGATGACGTTGAGAAGAGGAAGGAGGATGACGTTGAGAGAAGGAGGAAGGATGATGTTGGCGACGTTGTCAAGGAGGAGGAGTCAGCATGAACCAGACCAGAGCATGCCTCGACGGAGCTCGGCTCTTAAGAGGGGGGTAGTGTCATGGGCCTGGATGCTCAAGAAGCAGGAGGGTCATGGGTTCATATGGAAGGAGCACAGGTATCGAAGACCTAGTCGACACCAGTAGAGAGCATGGTCGTAGTGCAGTCTCCATGGAGACCATGGACTTCTATGGACTCACATGCAAAGGAGGGCCAAGCACAAGCCACGAAGAGGACCAAGCTCAAGGAGCATGCAGATGGTTACCATTCAGGGGCTCGAGAGACAAGAGCCAAAGGAACTGTCACTGATCAAAGGAGGAGGAGCAGTGTCGAAGGAGTCGACACCAGGTCATGAGGAGGAGGAGCAGTGTCGACAAGAGGCACAGGGGTGCTAAGCAGGAGAGGCCCCTGAGCAATACTCGATGAAGAAGGTACTCTCTGGAGAGAGAGCAGGAGCAGCATCGCTGGCAATGCTGTGAAGAGGTATATAACCATGCTTTCTCATCATCATAGGTCGAGTGGATCCCCATCCACTCTACTCACCATAACTAGTTATCACTTCAGCATAAGTATACATTAGTTCAGTCAGCATAGCAGCAATCTATCAAGGTTGCTCCTCATCGTAGTGTGTGTGTTGTATCACCACTACCTGACGTCCGAAGGCGCCCATAGCAGGTTAGCGGTCCGGATATAGATAGAACCGAAGGCAGTAGTCCACTGCGGTCCGGGGATCACTTCAAGCATCAAGTCAACACACTGGACACTCGTGTTGACGCCACCAACCTTATCACCAACACCATCAACCTCATTATCATCGACATCACCAATCTCATCACCAACACCATCAACCTCATCATCATCAACACTCACACCAGACCTTGGTGTCATCATAACATTGATATCGATCGTGCCGAGCTACCCCTGAACGGAGTGTCCACAGAGGTCAGCCGAAACCTACGATAGTATATACAACGAACGCCACCTGCTGTCACTGCACAACTTGATAGTCACCGATACCGAGACAATAGCTGTCACACAGTTGATAGTCACCGAGTATCTCGACGGACCGACCTGGGTTTCAGGCGCGAGACCCCTGACACAGCAATCTATCAAGGTTGCTCCTCATCGTAGTGTGTGTGTTGTATCACCACTACCTGACATCCGAAGGCGCCCATAGCAGGTTAGCGGTCCGGATATAGATAGAACCGAAGGCAGTAGTCCACTGCGGTCCGGGGATCACTTCAAGCATCAAGTCAACACACTGGACACTCGTGTTGACGCCACCAATCTCATCACCAACACCATCAACCTCATCATCATCAACACCCACACCAGACCTTGGTGTCATCATAACATTGATATTGATCGTGCCGAGCTACCCCTGAACGGAGTGTCCACAGAGGTCAGCCGAAACCTACGATAGTATATACAACGAACGCCACCTGCTGTCACTGCACAACTTGATAGTCACCGATACCGAGACAATAGCTGTCACACAGTTTAATAGTCACCGAGTATCTCGACAGACTGACCTGGGTTTCAGGCGCGAGACCCCTGACACCTTCTTCATCGAGTACTGCTCAGGGGCCTCTCCTGCTTGGCACCCCTGTTCCTCTTGAGTGGTGTCGACTCCTTCGACACTGCTCCTCCTCCTCATGACCTGTGTCGACTTCCTGTCTCTCGAGCCCCTGAGTGGTAACCATCTGCATGCTCCTTGAGCTTGGTCCTCTTCGTGGCTGTGCCTGCTCCTTGAGCTTGGTCCTCCTCGTGGCTGTGCCTGGTCCTCCTCGCATGTGGCTCGGTTCTCCTTTGCATGTGAATCCATAGGAGTCCATGGTCTCCATGGAGACTGCACTACGACCATGCTCTCTACTGGTGTCGACTAGGTCTTCGATACCTGTGCTCCTTCCATATGAACCCATGACCCTCCTGCTTCTTGAGCATCCAGGCCCATGACAATCTTGACCAGGTCTTTGAGACCTTTTGATGCTATGGACTCCATCAAGAGCATAGGTGCCACTAGGGTCGAGTCATGGTCTGCTGTCTCCTTGAACACTCGAGGAGGCAGTAGTTGCCTCACATTGTGATCCTGCTCTTCACCAGCTGGTTGCATGTCTGTCCTTCTGGTGAGAGCATCGGGTTCACCACCTTTGTCTCCTGGTTGATACTGCAATATGAAGTCGAAGTCTGCTAGTAGTATTGCCCATCGAGCCTGTCGACCTGTGATGCATCTCTGAGACTTGAAGTACTTGAGGGCTTCATGGTCAGTGAGGATGACCAGTTGGCTTGGTAGTCCAGCTAGCATGTGTCGCCACTGAGTGAGGCAGGTGACTACAGCTAGGAGCTCCTTGTCATGGATCTCATAGTTCTTCTTGGCAGAAGACATCTTCCTAGAGTAGAAGGCCACTGGATGCCATTGTCCTTCATGCTCCTGCTTGAGTACTCCTGCTATAGCAAAGTCACTTGCATCAGTTTCCAACCTTGTTGGAAGGTGGTAGTCAAAGTGCTGAAGCACTCCTGCTGATGTGAAGGCCTGGATGAGCTTGTGGAAGGCCTGTTGGGCCTCCTCTGGTAGCTCGAACTTCTTGAACCATTCTATAGGCTTTACCAGTGATGTCAATGGCTTGGCTATGCAAGCAAAGTGGGCTATGAACCTTCGATAGAAGTTGGCAAAACCCAGGAACCTTTGGATGTCATGGATTGACTCTGGCATTGGCCACTCCTTGACAGTGCGCACCTTTTCTGGGTCCATCTCTATGCCCGTTGGCTTGATGATGTACCCCAGGAACTCGACTGTCTTGGTGTGGAACTCACACTTTGACAGCTTAGCAAAGAGCCTGTTGCTCCTTAAGCGAGTGAGGACCTCAGTGACATGCTTCACATGTACCTCCTCAGTGTCACTGAAGATCAGGAAGTCATCTAGGTATACCACTACATATACTCCAATGATGTCTCGGAAGATGTTGTTGATGAACGACTGGAAGTGAGCTGGAGCATTGGCTAGGCCAAAGGGCATCACTAGGTACTCATAGAGTCCCAACTGAGTGCCAAAAGCTGTCTTCCATTCATCTCCTTTAGCAATCCGGATGAGGTTGTATGTGTCATGGGCCTAGATGCTCAAGAAGCAGGAGGGTCACTGGTTCATATGGAAGGAGCACAGGTATCGAAGATCTAGTCGATACCAGTAGAGAGCATGGTCATAGTGCAGTCTCCATGGAGACCATGGACTCCTACAGACTCACATGCAAAGGAGGACACAAGCCACATGCAAGGAGGGCCAGGCACAGCCATGAGGAGGGCCAAGCTCAAGGAGCAGACACAGCCACGAAGAGGACCAAGCTCAAGGAGCATGCAGATGGTTACCACTCAGGGGCTCGAGAGACAAGAGCCAAAGGAACTGTCACTGATCAAAGGAGGAGGAGCAGTGTCGAAGGAGTCGACACCAGGTCATGAGGAGGAGGAGCAGTGTCGAAGGAGTTGACATCAGGTCATGAGGAGGAGGAGCAGTGTCGAAGGAGTCGACACAGCTCAAGAGGCACAGGGGTGCCAAGCAGGAGAGGCCCCTGAGCAGTACTCGATGAAGAAGGTACTCTCTGGAGAGAGAGAGCAGGAGCAGCATCGCTGGCGATGCTGAGTAGAGGTATATAACCATGCTTTCTCATCATCATAGGTCGAGTGGATCCTCATCCACTCTACTCACCATATAACTAGTTATCACTTCAGCATAAGTATACATTAGTTTCAGTCAGCATAGCAGCAATCTATCAAGGTTGCTCCTCATCGTAGTGTGTGTGTTGTATCACCACTACCTGACGTCCGAAGGCGCCCATAGCAGGTTAGCGGTCCAGATCAAGATAGAACCGAAGGCAGTAGTCCACTGCGGTCTGGGGATCACTTCAAGCATCAAGTCAACACACTGGACACTTGTGTTGATGCCACCAACCTTATCACCAACACCATCAACCTCATTATCATCGACACCACCAATCTCATCACCAACACCATCAACCTCATCATCATCAACACTCACACCAGACCTTGGTGTCATCATAACATTGATATTGATTGTGCCGAGCTACCCCTGAACAGAGTGTCCACAGAGGTCAGCCGAAACCTACGATAGTATATACAACGAACGCCACCTGCTGTCACTGCACAACTTGATAGTTACCGATACCGAGACAATAGCTGTCACACAGTTTGATAGTCACCGAGTATCTCGACAGACCGACCTGGGTTTCAGGCGCGAGACCCCTGACAACCACCAACGTCATCAACCTCATCATCATCAACACTCACACCAGACCTTGGTGTCATCATAACCGAAGCATTGATATTGATCGTGCTGAGCTACCCCTGAACGGAGTGTCCACAGAGGTCAGCCGAAACCTACGATATTATATACAACGAACGCCACCTGCTGTCACTGCGCAACTTGATAGTCACTGATACTGAGACAATAGCTGTCGCACAGTTTGATAGTCACCGAGTATCTCGACAGACCGACCTGGGTTTCAGGCGCGAGACCCCTGACAGTATGCTGCTCTAAGGTCTAGCTTGGTATAGATCCTTGCCTTCCTGAGTAAGAACAGCTGCTCCTCAATGAGGGGCAATGGTGCCCTGTTCTTGACAGTGATCTCGTTGAGACCTCTGTAGTCCACACAGAGTCTGAGACCTCCATCCTTCTTTGGTACAAAGAGCACTGGTGATCGTGCCAGGCTCTTCGATGGTCTTATGAACCCCTTCTTGAGGTTCTCATCCAAGTACCTCCTCAACTCGGACATCTCCTTGGGTCCCTTGAGGTATAGGGGCCCTTGAGGTGGCTTACCTCCTTCTATCAACTCGAGGTGGAGATCATGCTTGGTATGATGGGGCAGCTTGTCTACTTCCACCTCATTGAACACATCTCGCAGGTATTGGTATGGCTTTGGTATGTCTGCAGCCGTCACCACCTTGTCTACCTCCACCTCCATCTCGACTCCTTTGTCTGCACCTGTAGGTACAAAACCAAAGGCCAGGAGTGATGATGGTGGCTCCTCCAACAGCATGAACCCTATGGGTCCATCTTCCAGAGCTGCTCGTAGTATGCACTCTGCTGAGACAAACTCGTTACCATGAAGGGTTGGTCTCCTCATGGTTAGGTCCCCTGCTCTTGCTGCTTCAGGGGGTCTCCTTGGGGGTCGGTCCTGCTCCTGAGTCTTGAACTCCAGCTGGCCCGTATCCCATTGTATGGTGGGTTTGAGCCTCTGTAGCTCAGTGAACCCCAGGATGAGGTCATAGTCAGCAGTGTCGGCCACTGAAGCTTCAACCACACCCAGATTGTGTGTACCAATAGATACCTGCATGCTCGCAGAACTATTGATGGAGAGTTGGTGTCCGGTGACACCATGGATCGATCTTGTATCGGAGATCTAGTCGATACCAGTAGAGAGCATGGTCGTAGTGCAGTCTCCATGGAGACCATGGACTCCTACAGACTCACATGCAAAGGAGGACCGAGCCCATATGCAAGGAGGGCCAGGCACAGCCACGAAGAGGACCAAGCTCAAGGAGCATGCAGACAGTTACCACTCAGGGGCTCGAGAGACAAGAGTCAAAGGAACTGTCACCAGTCAAAGGAGAAGGAGCAGTGTATAGGGAACTGGCAAGCAGGTCCTGAGGAGGAGGAGCAGTGTCGAAGGAGTCGACACCACTCAGGAGGCACAGGGGTGCCAAGCAAGCAGGATAGCAAGGAGGAGGAGCAGTGCTAGAGGGGCCCCTGTACAGTACTCAATGAAGAAGGTACTCTCTGGAGAGAGAGAGAGCAGGAGCAGCGTTGCTGGCGACGCTGTGAAGAGGTATATAACCATACTTTCTCATCATCAAAAGTCGAGTGGATCCTCATCCACTCCACACACATCATAACTAGTTATCACTTCAGCATAAGTATACATTAGTTTCAGTCAGCATAGTAGTAATCTATCAAGATTGCTCCTCACTGTAGTGCATGTGTTGTATCACCACTACCTGATGTCCAAAGGTGGTTCATAGCGAACCAGCAGTCTGGATTAAGATAGAACCGAAGGCAGTAGTCCACTGCAGTCCAGGGATCACTCCAAGCATCAGTCAACACACTGGACACTCATGTTGACACCACCAACCTTACCACCAACACCATCAACCTCATATCATCAACATTCACCAGCCTCATCACCAACACCATCAACCTCATCATCATCAACACTCACACCAGACCTTGGTGTCATCACAACCTATGTATTGATATTGATCATGCCAAGCTACCCCTGAATGGAGTGTCCACAGAGGTCAGCTGAAACCTATGATAGTATATACAACAAACACCACCTGCTGTCATCGCGCAACTTGATAGTTGCCAAACAACTAGCTCGTCGAGACCGATACCGAGACAATAGCTGTTGCACAGTTTGATAGTCACCAAGTATCTCGACAGACCGACCTGGGTTTCAGGCGCGAGACCCCTGACACCGGGCTACCTCTGGATGGAGTGTCCACAGCAGTTAGTCAAAACCTGCAATAGCAAAACCATTACTGCATCTTCGAGCGAGAAAAGTGATAGAGATGTCTCTACTACATATCTCACCAAGAATCATAATACCACAAGTGTTGTCACATATCTCGACAGAATTTGTAATAGATGCAGTTCTATTACAGATATCAGGTTTTGGGTGCGTGACTGCTGACAATTCCCACCTCATCTGAGTGGCGACTTGCATCCATTCATCACCCTCCTGTCATTAGCGCCCATCTGTTTGCATCAACTTCATTGTCATGTGAGGTCCCTACTTCATCCAGTGGCAACCTCCTATTGGCCACTACTCTTTGTCATGTGATCCACATTACCATTGTCATCTTAGTGTTCCCCTGTGAGACCCATCATGTGATTACAATGTTACTGATGTCAGCAGGCATCACCATAGAGTCCCATTTGTGCTGATTCAGCTGAGACCTGCCATAACCCATCTCTACTACCGATTCAGCTGGAACCTGTTGTAACCCTTCTCTACTACCAATTCAGTGGAGACCTGTTGTAACCCTTACCTACTACCGATGCCAGTGAACTCCACTGTAAACTCTTGTTTGGCCCAATTCCATGATTCCTGTGCCACTATTCAGATGATTCCAGATCTTCCTGCACATCCGTTCCCATGACACACACATCAAGCTTGCGTGGAAGCCAGCTCTGCATGCTCGAGAGCACTTCTCATATCAAGGCAACTATTTGTTCAATGTTTCCCTGGTCTTCCTTCCACACTCACTTCACATTGTCAAATCCATCATTGGCCATCCAGGCTCTTCACATGACTTGCACATTTGGGCATCAGGAGATAATGGGATTGTGGCTAAGCCTTGTCTTCATCTAGACAAAGGTGAGTTTGTATGGGTTGAAGCTGGGTTCAGCTTCTCTGCCTTCTCAGTAGGCCCTTTCAACAACAATGCAGCTAGCAAGAGTCATGACATCCAATACTTCAACTACTTCCTTTCTCACATATGGATTCATGCTGAGCATGGCATTGCATACCTCAAGAATCACTTCCAATGTCTAATGGGTTACTGTGGCAATCTCTATCACAAGGAAGACCATGAATGGGCTGCATATACTATCCAAGCATGTATTGTGGCTCATACCTTTGCAAGTCGATATGATCATCCAGATGACATGGCAGATTACCTCCTGCAGTCATTCTCTGAAGAAGACATTGCAGATGCCACATCTAGTCTCGCTTCATACCATCAAGCAACTGAGGAAGCCAGGATTCTGTGATGAGACAATCAAGCACAATATGAGCAGGAGTTTGCTGATGCTACTCAAGGTATGTCACAGAATCAGATGAACAAGTTCTGTGCTGATTGGGCTCTGGATCTCAGGGAAGAGATGCTCAGTGCTCTCTTTGTTGCTAATGGCAGACCATTTGAGGATACCATGGCCAAATCAAGGAGGAAAGCTATGACAACTGTGGCATATAATGCACACCTAGGTCAGCAGAGCAGGCAAACTGAATCTTGACAATGAAGATGAAGGCAGAGGCAGCAGGTGGAGGGCTCACAGCATACAGTGGATGTCCAACAGACTTTGCAGACATAGCAATGGCAATATGAACAGTGTTAATAATGACTGTATCTATTTTGATTGTGTGACAAGAGTGTCAAAGATGGTGGAGCTACAAGGTGGTTCAGATTCCAGAATAGGTGGTTTGGATTTTGGAACTGCTTCATTTTCTGGCTGACACTACCCTCCCTTTTTGGCTTCTAAAATTAGTTTTCTAAAAACACAGCTTACATTTGGGGGCATCAATTTTCTGGCCTTTTTTCACTATTCGAAGACTCTAGTTTTCGAGGGCAAAAAAACAAACTGAAACCCCCTAGTGTGGCGAGGGTCTCAAGCTCCCTGCTAGGTATACAGTTACATCCAAAATTGCCCAGCATCTAATTAATTTGATATGGTGTTCTCAGGTCCTTTTCATGATGATGACCAGTACTCTTTGTTCTCTTTAACAACACCCACTTTGTGTGGTATGGTTGCAAAGCTTGGATAGCCTGCTATCAGAATATGTGAGAAAAAAAGGGTGGCCCCACCAAAGAATATGCTGGAATTTAGGTTGGCACTCTTTGAAGCCCCTCCTCCTCCTCAATTAATTCTGTACCTTGTGTAACTTATTGCTTTGCACAGAATTGAGCTAATAGACCATGCTTGAAACTTCATATGATTGTAGTATGATATAAACAAAGATGTTTCAGGGTGTTTTGACAAGCTTAGGACATCATATGGCAATACTGCTGTCAATATGGCAAGGAGGGCAAAAAATCGATATGGGGAGGACTAAATACACCACCACTCACCTATTACAGGTCAAAGAGCTGCTCCAAGCAGGTTTCTCAACAAGGGAGATAGCAACTAAACTGTCTATCAACAAATCCAGCATTGCTGAACTGGAAAAATGGGTACCAGAGAGTGAATATGTGAAAAGGACCCCTGGGAGGCCCCTCCTCCTCTCCTCACACCAACAGGCATTACTCACCAGAGGAATTAGCAAGAATTCTTATACTTCAGCTACTGAAGCTTTAGCCTACTGGCTATGACACTATCAACTTTGTTTGTCCAGACAAACCATTACATGTGCACTGAAGCAAGCTGGACTTAAGTTTAGGGCAAAAAGAAGAAAACCCTTGCTCACAGATAAACATAGGAAGGCAAGGAGGGTGTTTGCCAAGGAGTATAGACATTGGACTGTTGAACAATGGAAGAATGTCATCTGGAGTGATGAATGCAAGGTTCAACACATTGGAAAGGGCTTGGAAAAGCAATACTGGTCCAGGGATGTCAACTATGATATATATATACCTACACTGCAGGGGGGTGGCCACAGCATCATGATTTGGGGGTGTATGACCTGGGCAGGCCTAGGTCTAATGGTCTATATAAATGACAAACTAAATTCAGAGCGTTACATTGAGTTGTGTAAGCGGTCGCACACCCAAAACCTTAGATCGGTAATAGAGTCGTGTCTATTATGAATCCTGTCGAGTTATATGACAATGCTTGTGGTATTGTGATTCTTGGCGAAATATGTAGTAGAGCCATCTCTATCACTTTTCTCGCTCAGAACTGCAGTAAGGGTTTTGCTATTGCAGGTTTTGACTGACTGCCATGGACACTCTGTCCAGAGGTAGCTCAGCATGATCAATAACAATGTAAACTTGTACTGACACCAAAGTCTGGTGTGAATATGATTGCTGGTGACATTGACATGAGTGTCCAGTGTGTCAACTAAGTGCTTGAGGTGATCCCCAGACTGCAGTGGACAACTGCCTTCGGTTCTATCTTTATCTGGACTGCTGGTTTGCTATGAACTGCCTTTGGATGTCAGTGAGCAGTGATACAACACACATGCTACAATGAGAAGCAATCTACTTGATTGCAACTATGCTGACTGAAACTAATGAGTACTTATACTTTTGAAGTAATACTAGTTATATGGTGTAGAGTGGATGAGGATCCACTTGTCCACCTATGACAAGAAGGTATGCTTATATACATCTTATGCAGTGTCACCTGTGACACTGCTCCAGCTCTCTCTCCAGAGAGTACCCTCTTTGTCGAGTGCTATACAGGAGTCCCTGTAACATCCCCTCCATCCTTACCTGAGCTGTATGTTGACCTCTTTGACACAGCTCATCCTCCTCATGACCTGTACACCAGTGTCCATGACACAGCTCTCCTTCCTCCTAACCAGCAACTGTTCTCCTGACTCTTATCTTGTGAACCCCTGAGTGGTAACCAGCTGCATGTTTCTGAGCTTGGTCCCCATCTTGGCAGAGCTTGGTCCTCCTCACATGTGAATTTGTCATATGAACATCCTTGTCACTGATCTCCGTGGAATCTGCTATATGACCTCTCCTACTACTGATCTCAGCAGGATTCATGATATCATCCTTGTTCATGCAGATCTTGATGGGATCTGTCATAGAACCATTTCTACTACAGATCTCAATGAATTCTGCTGTAAATCCCACAATCTGCCTGATTCCTCAATTCCTGCACTCCCTTCATATGAGTTGATGGATCTTCTTACTTCTTGCACATCCAGGCCCATGACAAGTTGCTGGAGGAAGCAGTGCCTGGTAGCATCTTGAAGTGGAAGAATATACAGAGAATTCCACCAAGGGATAAATTGATCTTTCAGCAAGACAATGGCCACCCTCACACTGCCAAAGTTGCCAAGGAGTACCTGGAGGAGGTCAAACTCAATGTATTGCCCTGGCCTGCAATGTCTCCAGACCTGAATCCTATAGAACATGTGTGGCAGCAGCTGAAAAAGCAGCTATATCAGCAAAGATATACTATCAACAATAAAGCTCAACTCATTGCAGCTATCAACAGGTTTTGGGCAACTTTTCCCAAGGAATCAGTCCAGGCACTCATAAAGTTGATGCCCAGGAGGTTACAGGCTGTAAGGGTTGCAAAAGGGAGCCATACAAAATACTAAAGTATAGTATATAGTAATTTAGGAGGAGTGTTATGGGATCAGGAAATCAGGTAACCAAACCGAACATAGTGAGCAGCAAAACCACTACACCAGCTAGACCCTTAGCTGGTGTACCCAATTCACACAACACTGAAGTATAAGCATTTTCACTCCCAAATGCTCCGGACTCGGAGAACGGAATTCCTATTCCGGTGACAAGGAGCTTTACACTCAAAAAAAGTCGTGGAACTTTCACTGTGCACAAATGTGGTCCAATCACAACAAAACTTATATGTACTTGTAGCTCTCAATCTCAGCTTTCCAACAATATGTCACAAGCTACACTTCATTGAGGATACCAGCTCTTGAGAAGTGAAGTTGATGTGTGGTGATGAGCTTTTAATTATCCTAAAAGATGCTGGGCAATTTTGGACACAACTGTATATACAAATGTGTGGCACATGCCAAAGGTGGGAGCACTCCTACTTCATGATCCATCTTGACAATGAGCAGGACTGTGTTGTACACGATCTTTGTGTAGATCTTCTCCTCCGTGTCCCAATTACATTTATGTCAGCATGTATCATCATATTGGATTGTTTCCCTCGGCATCACACTTGGCTATGTGCCACAAATTTGTATATATATCAAGCCAAGAGCACTAGGCCCTCGCCACATTCTTTTAGTCAATTGAGTATATATGTTTCTGCCTTAAAAGTAGTAGTGACATCGTACTCTGACTCTCCCTGATCGCCAGTTATCGGGACCCAAACTTCAACACAAGTTACTCCATCAACCCCTTTCCAACCGGCAATCATCACATCACAACCACCATAGAGACACTGCCACAATGACACTTTGCAACGGCATCGTCCAAGACCGGAGTGCATTCCATCTGCTCGGCCACCCGCTACCAGCACTAATCGACTTAGCTTCGACCTCAGGGACCACTGTCGATCTATTCACACTATCTTTCCGACAGCCAATACTTTTGTTCCTCCACGCATCCCTCTCCACCCCTCTTGGCACCACCCCTTCTTCTTGGTCTTCTATCCCCGGTGCATCTGGATCTACTCGTTCTTTGGCTGCCCTAAACACCCACCTGCCGAATCTACTCGCAAAGGAAAAGGGATTGGTGGTGTTCGGACTCTCAACGCAACCCCACTCGGAACAGAAGCAAGCAAAACAAAGATTAGGACTCAACTTTGATTTGTTGTCCGACGAAAAACAAGATTTGCTCAGCGCCCTGCATCTACCGACGTTCGAAGCGAAGGAAGAGCCGGGAAGGAGGTATGTTAAGAGGATGACGCTACTGTTGAGAGGTGGGCAAGTGACAAGGCTGGACTATCCAATCGAAAGCCCTGAGGAAGCTCCGCTTAGGGCTGAGGCCTTGTTGAAGAGTGAGGAGGAGTTAATGTTGGAGGTTGAAGCGCGAGATGCTGCTAATGCTGCCGCAGGCAGGGCACAAACATCATCATAGACGCAATCTTGTAGACACATTGAGAGAGAGTGAAAGCGATGCTAGCGGGCATCGTCGTCTGTGTCTGGTTGAGTTTGAGAACAGCTAAAAGTACATTGGGATTGAGTATGCGACCGTTATTCAAAGTCTTGGATAGGGTGCGTGTAGGGTGGTTATGGTGTTCTAACGACCCCTACCCCTCCCCCCGCCACCTGCCCTCATCCCCGCACCGCCGCCGCCTCTACCCCTCGCCCTACCTCTATCCATCATCCCTCCTCCCCTCGCCCCCCTCGCTCCCCTCGCCACCGGCTCCTTCCTCTTCCCCTTCGGCTTCGGCGCATCATCCACCAACAACATATCCAAGGGCAAAGCATCCGGTAATATCCAATACCTGATATTGTTACCCCTGATGCTCAACGTATCCAAAGCTACAGCCGGTCGTCCACGAAGGGTCATTTTAACGGTTTTAAGATGCGTGTTCATCTGGATGTCTACGCCGGTGACGGTTCCATGAACGACGGTGCCGTTCTTAAGCTCGATTGTCACTGATTCATTGTTGAGCTTCATCAAAAACCTGCATTGCCACATTCAAAGGGGGGTTGAGGATCAGCAGGAGCTTTGCAGACGGCAACAGCGGGTAGGCCAGGCTTACCTGACGAGCTTCATCTTGAATACAATTCGACGCTATGTAGCAAAGATGTGCGCCTTGACCCTGACCAAAGCTATCCTCCGTGAATAGATTGTGATTAGGGAGTCCGGCCGTTCTCTAAGAGCGACAAGTGCGGTGGATGCGTTCAAGTGTTGATGGTGGATGAGGTGCAAGTTAGGAATTGGGCCGTAGGTGGGAATGTCCACCTCGACCAAAGGAATCTTCTGGCGATTCGATCAGGCGTCCTTTTCTTCCCGATTTAGCCGATCAATCGGGGATGATGACAAAGCAAGCTAGCAAGCCAAGTCGCGAGTCGCGCAGGCGAGACGCGAACCTCTCGGCATTCTTTGCTCCACACCAACCTTGACTCGGAGTTGAGCATTGGTTCCATTATTCATTCATTCATTCATTCATTCATTCTTACATTCCTGCCACCAACACTGGGAGGATAGCGACACAGAACATGAAGCAATCTCCATCCTCGACCAACTGATCAAAACGCGATCTGTTGTTTGCCCACAATGGGCATCCAAGGCCTTCTGCCGCTCCTCAAAGATGCTTCTCTCCCCATCCACATTTCCTCCTATTCCGGTCGCACACTCGGCATCGACACCTACGTTTGGCTCCATCGTGGTGCCTACGGTTGTGCACGCGAGATCGTCCTAGGCGACCCCGCTCCACGCTACATCTCCTACGCGCTGTCCCGTATTGGTATGCTACAACACTTCGGTATCAAACCATACCTCGTTTTCGACGGCGACAAACTCCCCGCAAAAACCCATACCGAAGACGATAGAGAATCGAAACGCTCTGAAAACCTCGCCCGTGCACAGCAACTCGAAGCAGAAGGAAAACTTCAGCAAGCTCGAGACCTCTACGCCAAGTGCGTAGATATCACCCCTGAAATGGCCTACCAACTCATTAAAGTGCTGAAAGAGCAAGCGATACCCTATCTTGTAGCGCCGTACGAAGCAGATGCACAACTGGCCTATCTGGAGAAATGCGGTGCCATCGATGCCGTTCTAACCGAAGATTCCGACCTGCTAGTCTTTGGATGCAACACGGTGCTCTTTAAGCTCGACCAAGCTGGAAACGCAGTGGAAATCAAGCAAGAGAGGTTTTGGACAAATAGGCAGATAACCTTTTCAGGGTGGACAGCGGTCGAGTTTAGACAGATGGCCATCCTCAGTGGCTGCGACTATTTGCCCAGTATAGTGGGGATGGGGTTGAAAAACGCACACCGGTTGTTGAGAAGGCATAAGACGGTGGATAAGGTGCTACAGGTAATTAGGCTGGAGGGCAAGATGAGGATTCCTCCGACCTATGCGAGCGAGTTTAGAAAGGCGGAATTGACCTTTGTTCATCAGAGGGTTTTCGATCCGACCAGTAGCAAGGTGGTCACGCTTACGCCCTTGCCCAGTGGCACGCATGATGATATGCTGCCCTTTATTGGGGCTCATATTGAGGATGAGATGGCGAGAGCGATTGCAGATGGCATCATTGATCCTATTACAAGGGAGAGGATATTGGATAGAGTTCCCAGGTTGGGGATGAGGTGTTCGAGTGCGAGTAATCTCACTGCCAGCTCGAGTGGGTTGAATACCTTGCATAGGAGTACCACTGCTCCCATAAGCTTGGGCGGTGGATCTGGGCTGGCGAGCAGCAGCTTTGATAAGTCCTCAGTGAGTACAGGGTCGGGAGCGTTGGGAGGAGGAGGCAAGAAAAAGGTGGTTAGTAAAGAAACTGGCTTGCAGAGTTTGAAGATCTTCTTTGGTGCTCCGAAGAGCAGAGAGAAGAACGAAAAGACGGAGGAGGAGAGAATCGCGCTGGCTCCTCGTGATACCAATCGACCTTGGCAGCCCTCCCCACGGCCACCCTGCCAGCCGGTAAAAGAGGTGAAGGCAACACAGAGCAAGCTCTTCACTCGTTCCAACACCACCCCTCACCCCACTACGGTATCCAAGACGCCGAAAGTCAGGCAAGACCATGCATACCTCCACCTGGGAGGCCAACTGACACCACCGAAAGCCAACGACTCAGGGTATTGGCAAGACGAGTGTCATGATCTGCACGACTTTGTTCGGTCTAGTAGTCCTCCGCAGATAGAGCTCAAGGAGTCACAGCCGATTGTTATGGATACTCAGCAGCTGTGGCTTGCGAGCAGCACAGCGGATATTGGAGAGGTACGGGAGGCGAGTGTCGCTCCAACGCAATCCGTGCAGAGTAGAGGTGCCTCTGGGGAGAGTGGGACGAGTGCGGTGGTGGTTGTACCTCAGACACCGACGAGGAAAAGAATGAGGTCGGAAGAGGCGGCGCCGGTGCTTTCGTCGCCAGAGAGTGCGATGGAGAGCGGGTTTATTTCTTCCCCTGCTTCGATCGTTTGTGGTCGTGGAGATATTCCAGCTTACAGAGGGAACGGGAGAGAAGAAGAGGAGGAAGAGGAAGAGGAGTTTACTCTGCCTAGCTCGCCGTTGTTGGATGAGATGGTGGTTGAACCAGTTACGCCCTTGACGGCCAAGAGTAAACCGATGCTTGATACGAGTACCAGTAGGTCTAAATTGGAAGCATTCCGATATGCTTCAGCGACTCCTCAACATCAGCACCAGCAGAAGAAGCGAGTGGAGAGAGGGAGAGCAACGCTGCCGAGGAGGGCCACCGAGTTGGCTACTCGCTCAGCTGGTAAACCGGGCGCCTCGCCTTCTGTTCTTAAACTTGCTTCCCGGGCAAGCATCAGCACACCAGCAGGAGCGGGGAGTGCGAGGTTTAGGCCGGGTAAGATGCTCAAACAAAGCCCCACTCTGCTTTTGCGCGAGGAAGAAGCAGCAGGCGCAGGCGAGGGGAGCGCAGGGGATAGGAGCCAAGTTGCAGGCTTGTTTGACAGGTTTAGGTTTTCCGAGCCTGTGGAGCAGGTAACGGGTGCAGCGCAGGCGGGGGGAAGTGGGAAGAGGCTCTTATCTTTCTAGCATTAATACACACACGATGCATTTCAGTATCGGTCGTATTTGGCATCCAGTCGTAATTCTAGCATTGGCAAGAATGCCATCGTATTGTCTTTTCGTATATACTCGAGAGGTATCTCTCTGAGGCTGTTGGTGTGAGAACCGAGATTTAAGCCAGGCGCAACGACTTTGATTGCATCGGCGATTTTCAAGCTGAATGAAATCAGCAGTTTTTCAGTGGTTACCTAGGAAAAATTTACTCTCGATCCATTCTTCAGCACCTTGATCACCGTCACTATCAAACGGCGCATGCCAGCAACCAACATGTCTCTTCGTCCACCAACAAACCGTCAAGGCCCAGCACAGGCCCCGATGGCAGGCTTTGGAGTCCTCTTCGTCTCTCTCTGTCTGATATTTTCCATCATTCCCCTAGCCACGGTTCTGCCTAACTACAAATCCACTCTCCCTTGGCCCTCGGCCAATGATGGCCAAAGCTCCCTGGATGTGCGACGGCGAGACGATTTGCATATGAGGCACGAGGTTTGTACGGCGGAATTCCCACGCTTCTACCCGCAACTTGCTGCTAATGAAATAGCGTGGAAGAAGAAGGGAGGGATTGGATATTATGATGTACAGAGTGCTGCGGGGAATTGTAGGCATGGGTAGTGGTTTTTCCTCCTCCATTGATACCCAGTAAAGCGACGGTCTCTTCGCGACGAACACCGAGAGAGACATCGTCAACGGCGAGAAGTTTGCCGTAGGATTTGTCGAGATGTTTGGCTTGAAGCACGTCGTCACAGGAATCCGAGTCCAGACGGAGGGATTCTTCGCTTACGCCTTGTCCGACTGGTTGCACTTTTTCTTCTTCGTCCACCTCAGCCCTGCGCTTCTTGTAGGATTTTCTTCGGCGAAAACCAAGCCAAGAAGGTAGGAGAGGGTAGCCAGAATCATTCGCAACAAGGAACCCAAAACAAACAAGCGCCCAAACAATAGCATACACAATCGGGCCACCCAAAAGATCGATAGCGGCGATACCACCACTCCTGTACCCACCTCTACCGTTGCAGAGCAGATTGAAGAGGTTTACAGAGACGAAACCTGCACGGGTCATGCTAACGCTGGGAGCTAGGATCGCTTCGACGTAGTAAGCTGCATCGAGTGCGCCGGCGAGGCCGTTTCCGACGTAGTAGGTGACGGTAAGCATGGTAGTGGCGAAATAGATGAGGAATGCGAGAACGTTCCATGCCGCAACGATGGCGAATGCTGCCAATTGGTTCGGAGCGAAGAGCGAGACGACGAAGCTCTGCAAGGTGGAGGATACGCCGTGGAGGAAAAGGACGACCCAGAAGACTCCTTCGCCTGCGAACTGGTCCGAAGCGAACGCGTAGACAACGGCGACAGGGATAGTGCTGATGAGAATGACGGGAAGTTCAGCAAGAAGATGACCCAACCAGAGAGGAACAGCACGCATGCCGTTAGTCAACGCCATCGCCTTAACCCGATTATTGCGCTCCGCAGAAGGGTAAAGAGCAGCAAACGCAGGCCAAACAGCTTGCACCAACCCAAACACAACAGCCCATTTCAGCGCATCACCAAAACCGTTTCCGAGGGAAAGATTCGACAGAGGCCGATAGTTGGATGTGATTGTCGGAGAACCATCTGCACCACCAGCATTCGTACCCCTCGCAGAAGCCAAACCGGCATTGCTGACCAAGTTAAGCGATCTTATGACAAAAAGCTAGCTTGGTTCGACTTGGATCTTTCCAACAGACCTTACAAAGTGTTGAAGTACCACGCAAAGGCAGTAAAGGCAGTCCATTTCAGCACAGCATGGAACTTGGTTGCGGATGCAAGTGACGACGGGACATTGCAGTTGTTCTATGCCAAGGTGAGTGCTGATTTGGGCGAGAACCTGGTTCTGGTGCCTCTGAAGGTGCTGAGGCGCCATGAAGTCAAGGGAGGATTAGGCATAGAAGTCCGAAAGCGTTCTTTTGGTGGTGTCAGATGTGTGTGCCTGAAAGATCTGCACAGTGAAATCAGAGACATTGCGCACGGACCTGGCACCTTTTATTTATATTTAGCTTGCAGTTCCCCGGAGTTGCCGAGATGGTGAATTTTACTTGCTTTGCTTACGCTCGCTCTTCATCCTTCCATCCGCACACTTTCCCTCTTCACCTTCATATCTATATATCAATTTTTCAAGGCTTGCAACCCCTGCATGTCGTTCTTGCTGTCATTTACACGATCCGTTGTTCGTATCGTCCCACAAGCTTCGACTCGTTACCTACCTCCTTCCACTCGCCTACACGCAACACTTAGCGTCGCTAGAACTTTTGCATCCACATCCACGCTTCGCAATTCGACTTCTCCTCCTCCTTCCTCAGACGGGCCCGATCAAATCTTTCCCAGCATGACCACTGTCTTCCCCACTCAGCGACTGCATAACAAGACGGTGCTTGTCACCGGTGCTTCTGGCGGTATTGGCAAGGCCACAGCAATCCTCTTCGCCCGAGCTGGATGCAATGTGGTTCTCACCGCTCGTAGACCCGATGAGCTCTCCAAAGCTGCCACCGAATGCTCTCTCGCCAATCAACAAGGCCAGACAGGCGCAGGAGGAAACTTTGCCGCCATCACTCTCGACATGCAAGACCGTTCCCAGCTCGATGGCCTCATCGACAGCCTTCCTGACTGGGCCAAGAACATTGACATCCTAGTCAACAACGCTGGCTTGGTCCTAGGCACGGACAAAGTTGGTGATATCTCACCAGACGAGATTGACATTATGATCGATACCAACGTGAAAGGTCTGATTCATCTCACTCAGATCTTTGTTCGCGAGTTCAAGAAACGCAACTCTGGTCACATTATCAACCTCGGCTCCATCGCAGGCCGCGAGGGTTACCCAGGAGGCTCGATCTACTGCGCGACCAAGTTCGCAGTTAACGCTTTCACCTCTGCTCTGCTGAAGGAGTTGGTGGATACTCCGATTAGGGTGACAGAGATTCAGCCGGGCATGGTGGAGACTTCCTTCTCCGTCACTAGGTTCAGGGGTGACAAGGGTGCGGCGGACAAGGTTTACCAGGGATTGCAGCCCTTGACGGGCGAGGATATTGCAGAGGAGATCGTTTGGGCTGCAAACAGGCCTGCGCATGTCAACATTGCTGAGACGCTAGTGTTCCCAGTCAACCAAGCTAGTCCTTATCATGCGTTCCGTGGCGGCAACTAGAGCTGTGGCTGGACTTTGTATTTGGCTTGATACCTCTGTTGTTCCGAAATGAAAAGATTATCCTTGCTTCACACGGTCGGCGTTGATGTCTATGGTTTGCATTGCCGGACTACAATGCCTCTTGCTCTTCCTCAAAAGTGCCTACATCTTCGTCTTCTTCTTCCGCAGCGACCTGTTCGCCGTCCTCTTCATCCGCTTCTTTTCCTTTCTCACTAAGTCCATCTTCTTCGTCATCATCCTGGACATCATCATCTTCGTCATAGGCCTGCGCTCCATCTGCCGTCCCAGCCCCGTACTGTGCAAGCAGAGCACGTTGCATCTCTGCATCCTCCGAACCGTATTGCCATGACCCATCCTCTCCCCTATCTTCATCTTCATCTGCATCGCCTTGTCCGAGATAACGCTGTTCTGAATCAGAATCTTGCACGTTTCCTCGCTGCTGACCATTCTGCCGTGAAGCATGGAGGTCGGTCTGATGGGATGTTGAGCCGGACATTTCCGTTGCGAAGCTCATCTCTTCTGCTTCCGGTTCTGTCTCGCCTACTGGTCCATCTGTCCAAGTCCACGCCGGCCTCGGTAGCAGCCCCTGGTTGGCTCTGATACCGCGGACTCTGTACGCCTCAATTCCACCAGATGCACCCACTGCCCTCGACGCTACTTCTGGAAGCAAACGATCGCGTTCCTCGTTAACGAATATCCTCTTGGCTGTTGACCATCCGATGCCATCTGGCTCCACGTGCAATGTATCATCCTGCGACCTGCGCTCCTCTTCGTCGTCAGGTGATGGTGATTCCATCCAGCTCAAGTTAGCAGGGGGTAGTGTGAAAGAGTACCGCAAACGATCGCGTTGTGTATATCCTTGGTCTGGATCGTCGTGTTCTGCTTCGGCTGCTTCGTCTTCGGACTGATTTGAATAGCCCGAGTTCCGTCGGCGTCTCCGGTTTGGCCTGCGAGAAGCGCTGGATATTGCTGTACCCCAAGGCCGCGCAGCCTGACCACGGATCTCGCGTGAAATGGGACCGAGGAGATCCAACGGATCTGCTTCCATCGCTGCAATGCGTTTGGCGAATACGTTGTCTGGTTCGGCATCTGACTTTCTGCGACTCTTCTTACTGCGCTTTTCTGAAGCTCCCTCTGCATCGCTTTCCGCATCCAAGCTTTCGTTGGTGTTGAGATGTAGAGTGGCAGAAGTCTCACCAATCCGCGTTGGCACCAACTCCTCGAGTGCAAGATCAGACCAAACCTCTTTGATGATGTTACTAGACGCTGGTAGACCTCCTAGCGTCGCTGCTACAGCTTGACTCGCAGGACTGCTGCCAAAGATATTCGAGCTTGGTCGTAGTAGTGCTGCATATGAGGTACATCCTGGACCATGCCGGCGAAACGGCCATGTCGGAGGCGCTAGAACGGTCGAAGTGTTAGTTCGGAAGAGCAAGCTTGGTGATAGATCTAGCTTCTTTGCTGATCGTATTGTTTCTTTTGTCTTTGTCTGGTCGTCTTTCTCCCCCGACCGCGGGGCTGCATTGCTGGTGGATGTGGTGGCTGTTTGAGTCTCGTCCAGATTCCATTCAGTATGTGCGGCAGCCGATCCGACGAGCTTTGTGCGGGAAGCTTTGTTGATAAAGTTGTTCCAAGCGTTGCTGACCGCACTTCTGCGCCCGTGCGAGGACTGTCCGAGATTGATCAATCCATCCAGCCCCCCGCCAAAGTCGAAGCCTAGTGCTGCGCCTGCCGAGTCAGCAAGACCGGTGCCAAGTGCTCCTCCACTGGAAGCAGCTCCATGCGTACCATTTCCACCGCCAACAATCGCACTATCCGCAGCAATCATCCCCCCAAGTGGACCAAACAAGTTGCCGAAGGGATAAGATGGGTGTTGATCAGCAGGCAACATGTCCCCATGCATATCTAGAGATGCTGGTACCAGATCTTCGTTGAGTGAGACAAACTCAGATGCGATCTTTGGTCGAGGTACGGCGACTGCTCCATCAGCACCGTACACACCTGCTTCGTCTGCATCTGAGTCATCATCGTTCCCGCCATCTCGATTGGAAAAGATGTTGCTCAGGAATGCATGACCTGTACCAGTTGCTCCGTCTAGTGCGTCTGCGGAGGCGTCGATGAGATGGTTGGAGACGAGAGCGTTAAGCTCGGGATGGTGGTAGAAGGTGGAACCGAGAATGAAGCTTCCTGGTTGCTGTCCATTGTTGCCGGAGTTTGGATTGTTCGAGGGGTCATTGCTGTGTGGGTCGACAGGGTCTAGGTAGAGCGGCGGGAAGGTAAGGGCTCCGCCTGAGCGCGAGGTGCCGACTGATCGATGTAGGTGCGTTGTACCAGCCGCTGCTGATGCTGAGGCAGTGCTGGATGAGGCCGTATTGGTAGAGAATGGATCATGCTGCTGATGTGGTGGTATGCGACGTTGTGTGTACGGCACACGATGGAAGAAGACCTCGGATGCCATGCTGGGTCGCCTCGCAGGATAGTAGGTCCAGCTTAATCCTACCGCCAGCACAAGAGTATATAGATGGTAATGCGATCCTTATGGTGTCAGACACAGCAGGGCCCTTCGAGCCTTGTGACAGGTGGTCATGAGAACGACAGACTGGTTGCTGCCTCCACGTCCCTGACTTATCCGACTGCCACGGAAATTCAACCTGGCCCATTTGGCAGGTGAGGTTCTCGACGCGACGCGCGTACAATTGCTGTTGAACAACAGCATGTTGTTCTCATTTCTAAAGTGTTGGTTTGGAAAAAAAAAAAAAAAAAAAAAAAAAAAAAAAAAAAAAAAACTAAGCCCAGCTTGGCCACCACAAACAACACTTCTCGCCGTCACCATCACCACCGTCACCATCACCACCGTCACCATCACCATCATCATCATCATTACAACCATAACTACCCTCACCACCGCGACGAGACAAACTGCGAAATGGCCACCATCCAAGAGGTCCTCGACCAGGTCGCTGCGTTGCCCACCGCATCCAAGCCTTACATCAACCCTTATGCCGGTCACCGCGCACTCTCCGAACACGAGCAGGAACTTTTAGGCGAATACGCTCGTCTCGCTGATACTATCCGACGCGTAAGCATACCTTCCCCTACCTTCTCCTATCTCACTTGTTCTGCCACTGACCCCTTTTACTCCTCATTCTTGGTTGCAACAGGTGGCTGCACTATCAACTATCCTCTCCTCCTCATCTGCCCACGCCTCTCTCCTCACACAGTTGCGCGTCCTCGAGCGCAAGATGGGTCTCGTTCTCACTCTATACAAGGCCTCAGTATGGGCTACGGTGCAAGAGCAAGCAGAAATGGCCGAAGCGGAAGCAATGGCTGCAGCGGGAGCAGAAATGAACGGATACAGTATGGACATGCAAATGGGCATGTATGACCAGGGGGAAGGTGGTGCGTATTACTATGGTGGTGGGGCGCCCTCAGAATCGCGTGAGGCAGATGATACTGTGGTGATGCGTCAGAATGAACACTACTGATAACATTCGCGCTCATGACATTCACATCACCGTCTCATTAGGCAAGTGGACTGACAGCGACAGCGCCGACAGCACAGTTTATTGTCGAAGTATGCGCACGAGCTAGCAGGCTTCCACGGTGCTTTCTTACCTAAAGAGCACTTCAACAACAGCAAGTCGATCGACTAGCGCTGCGCTCGGATACTTGCCTCATGAACCGGAGTCCCGGAGCACCGGTCCATACCAGGCCAACACGAATGGAATTGCATCCAGACTACCACACTAAGCGCATACGCCGCTTCCTGCTATCTTCAGTGCTTCGCAGAGTAGACCGGCAGTGCTGGGCACACGCGAAGGTCGGCTCCAGAAGTACACTGGCATGGGCTTCGACAATCCATGTCGCCAAAACTCAGCCCTCGTCAGGCACCTGAAATGCGCTTTTCTTGTCACACAACTCACTCACTGCAATGCCAAATGATACCCATTTCTCGCACACTTGAACCGTATCTGCCTTGCATTGCTCTGCGACGCACTACCATACAAAACCTGTCAATTAGGGGAAGAATCCTTCTATCTCAGCCAGAATGAACTCCGGCTTCTCCTCAGGTATATAATGACCACAATCCACCGCTTTCCCTTCCACCTCCCCCTCACTGCACGCTTGCCACAACTCCAATCCGCCCCCATACATAGCCTGGATCACGCCCTGTCTTCCCCAAAACACCTTCACAGGGCACTTGATCTTCTTTCCTTCCTCTCTGTCTTTTCTATCGAGTGCGAGGTCCGGGCCGGAAGGTGCGGAAGCCCGGTAGTCTTCGCACATAGCCGTGATGTTAGGTGGGCGAGAGAGGTTAGTTAGGTATGAGTTTGTGCGCCATTCTTCCACGCCTTTTGCCGCAGCAGAGGGAGGGCTGGTGGTGGAGGAAGAGGAGGAGGGTGTACGAGGAAATCGAGTGACTAGGGCGTGGAGGTAAGCTTGAGGATTAGCAGAGATGAATTGTTCAGGTAGATCGGATTGAAGGAGGAAGAACCAGTGCCAGTAGGCTGTTGCAAATCGATGGTCGGTTTTATCGTACATGTCCAACTACACACAACAATGATGCAAGACCGTGTTAGCGTTCTGCTCCAGATACACACTGTAACGAGCAAAGGGAGAGGGGAAAGGGAAACTTACAGTAGGAGCAATATCCAACAACACCAACTTCTGCACCTGATCCGGCCAGTCAAGTGCCATCCTATGAGCGATTCTTGCGCCTCTATCATGTGCAACGACCCAGAACTTGTCATGTCCCAGCTGTCTCATCACTTCTATCATATCTCTCGCCATTTCTCTCTTCGAGTATCGGGAGTAGCTTTCTTCGTTCTTCGGCGACGGTGCTGAGCTTTCTCCATTGCCGCGGTTGTCTGGTACCACCACCTCCCACTTGCCTGTTGCAGCGAGAGCTGGAGCGACAGAAGACCAAATTACATGCGTTTGCGGATGTCCATGCAGCAACAAGAGCGGCAAGGCTGAAGACGAGGTGGGTTTGAAGTGTCGGTAAAAGATGGATACTTCAACATCTGGGTCGTTGGAGGGAAGAGGGATTTTGGCTAGTCGAGAGGCAAATTTGGCCTCGTCGAAGGGGTTGACGAAGAGGGTAGACATCTTGGTTTGTTGAAATGCTACAAAGATGCTGATCGCAAGCAGAGAGGAAGGATGCGAAGTAGAAAGGATAGAGAGGAGGATAACAGCTGAAACTGACTGGAGTCCGTGCGCTGAGCACCTCAGAGTAACCCTTCACCCCGTCCTCACATCCAGCCATCTTCTTCACTTCGAACAGTCATACAGTCACATAAAGTGAGGATAGTACAATCTATTGTTCGATACTGAACTAAAGGTACATGAGACTAGCACTGCACTTCTCGGATCATGTCGAGCCATGAGCAAACCTTGATAAAGAGAGAGAGAGAGAGAGAGAGAGAGAGAGAGAGAGAGAGAGAGAGCCGGTAAATGCGATAGGGAATGATAGTATCATCTGCGATCCGAGTAGTAGTCGCCAGCCGCAGCGGCTAGCGTGCTCGTACTCTGACCCTGACTGTGGGGTGGTTGCGTTGCAGCTCCATAGCTGTCATGCCGGGGCGCACTCTGACTATACATCCCAGCGCTACTGTCCGATGTAGACTGACCCTGCGTCAGACCACCTGCACCGAACCCATCATAGCTGCTCGCACTCTGCGTGTGACTGTGCGAACTTCCGCCGGCCGGAAAGGAAACATCGCCAGTAGCATAGCCGCCTGATGTGCCGAAGGCCATGCTTTGACTACCCATGTTCCACGTGTTCGCACCATAAGCTGGTTGGTGATGAACGCCAGCACTGGTAACACCATACATACCACCTGCACCGCCTGAGCGATCATCGAAGGACGAGTCAAGCAACCTGTCGTCCTTGATCGAAGGCGAGGCACCTGGGTAGGTGGGATCGCGGTAGTGACCAGTGGAAAGATCAACAGAAGGCAAGGACGATGCGCCCATACTGCCAAATGATGTATCGGGACCAAAATCGGCAAGTACGGGCGGTCCACCTTCGTAGGAAGCGCTGTACTTGCCAATGATCTTGCAGAGCGCTGAGGCAAGCACCTTCCAGGGGAAGACTTTGACATCCTTCTCGATGTTGCGAGGCTTCGGGTTGGGAAAGCTCATGATCAACTTGAAGAAGAGCTCGCACTCGCGCTTGTTCTTGCTGACCGTGATGGGCCGAAATCCTTCGAGGTTTCGACGGATGCGGTTCTTCTCCTCGACGGTGAAGCGACTCGCAACCAGCGCCTCAAGAAGATAGATGGTGTCGACAGAAGTAATGAAGCACTCATTCTTGTCCTCGCGGAAGATGCAAGAGATGACGATGCTGTTGGGGACGTACTGCGATGGCAGGACAGGTCGGAAGGTGGCATGGATGGTGGTGCCCTCCTGTCGTCTCCAGAACTGCACCAGTCGACGTCCGCTCCTCCACTCGTCGTGCGACCAACCAACTGCCATATCGTTGAGGTTGCCGTGCAGCTCGAGCTTGGCACGAGGAGCGCCTCCACCACTGCCTCCAGGAGGGCTGTACATAGGATCGTGAGGTGCCATGGCCGGCGCCGGAGGAATGGATCCTTGAATCTGTGTCGCGCGCATGAGCTGGGGTAGACCACCAAGGCTCAATCCCAGCTCATCGGAAGAGCAGGGTCCACCATGATAAGTTGCTGGTGACTGCAGAGTTGCGTTGGAGCCAGACGACTCGCGGCGCCCATCGCCAACGTAGAAGCCTCCAGCGCCAAGACCTGGAAGCATCGCGTTGGAGCGACCGGGTGTAAGCTGACCTGGGATGCTCATGCCGCCACGACCAGTTCTGCGCCCAATCGACTGTGCACTTCGAGCGTCCTGGCCGATAGGGCTGCCATACACGTTGCTCACGCCTTGACCAGCACCAAGGACAGGGAAAGAAGCGGGACGTCGAAGCTGGCCATGGTCAGAGGTGCTGCGCAGATCTTTCAAAGGATCAGCGGAGCGCTTGAGTGATCTGGGAGAGCCACCTTCGACCTTGGGGATCGACTCATCGCTGCTGTTGACGGTGACGCCAAGGCCGACGGGACGCGAAGGTGGGCGTTGAAGGGTACGAGGGTCATTGTAACTTGCAGAAGGGAAGCGATTGCGAGTAGGAGAGGTCTCGGCAGTGAGGCCAGACAATCGACCCGAGGGAGACCTTTGGGCAGGCACCAAGTTGTAATTGTTGTACTGATTCGCGTTGGCATCGCCGAACGAGTATGCACCGCTTCCACCTCCGAGGCCCAGCTGGCTCACGCCAGAGGTGAGTGAATGATGCCTGGTGTGGCCCGCGTATTGTTGCGAGGTGGAAGGGTTGAATGCGCCAAGGGCTTGTGTCTGGGCCAAAGTACCAGCGCTGCCGAGATCGTCGTGGGTGTAGTTGCCATGCTGTTGGGATCGAGGGGCTTGGTCATCGTAGTTGTAGCTGGTTCCTTCGGCCTTGGCACGCCCGTAGCTGGCAGGGAAGCCGCCGACGGTGGTGTAAGCAGCTGCGCTGGAGGAAGGGTCAGGGGATTGGAAGTTGGACGAAGTAAGAGACGACGGACCAGCAGGTCCGAAGCTCAGAGCTGGGTTGGTGGAAGCAGCACCCGACATGAATGGAGATCGAATGAGACAGAGATCAAAGAGAGAGAGTGTGTCGCACCTTGAGATGATGTGAGGCCTGCGGTTGATCAGAGATGAGTCTAGGGAAGAGAAGCGTGTCGCTATGCCAAGCTGTCAACGATGTAGAATGCTGAAGGGAGCGTTGGATCAAGAGCGTAAGATGTCAAGGTGAGACAAGTATGGTGGTAGTGGATGGAAGAGAAGCAAGAAGGGTCGAAGCAGGATGAGTCAAAAAAGGGTGGGAAGGAGAAACCGAAACCGCAGGAGAGACAAGGATAGATAAGACACCGTGAAACGGCAAGCAAAAAAGTGAATCAGAAGGAGAAGTCGAGGAAGAGCAGAAGAGGAGAGCGTGGAAAGGTGGAAGAGGCGTAGGACGATGAGAGACAACTGCGGAGACAAGGAGATGAGCGCCCTTGTCAGCATGCCAGATCTCTCGGATCGCTGTATAAGGTGAAACCTGCAGTGACCAGCTTGCTTGTCAAAGGTGCCGCAGGGTTGGAGGCACTGTTCGAGAATGGATGTGCGGATGGTGACCTTGCTATGTCGCGGAGTAGGCAACTTACGCCGAGTAGGGCAATGCAATGCAAACGCAGATAGGAATGGGTATAGACCGGATTGGGAATAAGGTATGGGCTAGAAGGACGGTAGCCTTGGTCTCGAGCTGGTCGAACAATAAGAAATGATGAGGTTTGCTGGAACGAAGCTGCGATGTGCCAGGGTAGAGAGTTGGAGAGGGATGTATGCAGAGACGACGGAAACGGATTAGAACGAATACAGCTGGGCTGAGGACGAGGACGAGGACGAGGACGAGGCCATCAAGCCGGCGAGCAGCGACGATGCATTGAGGAGGGTAGATGACCGAGATGGCAGCCACTGCGGACATGAAAGGAGAATTAGATATAGGGACTAAGAAAGGAACGGCAGAAGTCGGCTCAGGAGCAGGAGCAGGAGCAGATGGAACGACGGGAGGGGACAGTTGGCATAACTCCTGCTACTACTGTACTGCCTTGTGAGGTGCGGCGGACACAGGGGGGAAGACGAAAGTGAGACCGACAGGCAGACGGATTCATGCTGAGCAGCGGAGAGGAGGAGTAGGAGCGAGAGAGGAAGCGCTAAAGAAGCAAGCCAAAATTTGGCGTGGAAGCCAGGAGGAGACGACATGAGACACAACGGCATCTGGAACGATGACTGAAAAGCGGAAGGAGTGCACACACAAACTATGCGTCTTGACGAAAGCGGCAGTGACAGAGTGAGCTGACAGGATTGGTATCCTTGGTTAGCTCTGCCGGAAAGATAACGGTATACAAACAGCGCAGCGCAGAAACTGCACAGAAAGACCAAAAAAAAAAAAAAAAAAAAAAAAAAAAAAAAAAAAAAAAAAGAATTTGAAAGAAAAACACGAAGAGGTTTTTTTATGGTCTCTAATAGCGGCTAAATACGAAATTTTGGCGCAACATATGGCAGGGGCAGAGTACTGGGAAAAAAAAAAAAAAAAAAAAAAAAAAAAAACCCCGAATTTCTAGGGAAAATCAAATTGCGGAAGCACACACACCTGCGTCTGTGGAGGGCACAAATGCAGCGAGGTTCTATTTTCATTTGTCAATTTCCAGTTGTTTGTCCGCATCGGGTATGTAGTCAGGAGCGGCTGGACCTTTTACACTACTTTCGAGTCTTTTTCTTTTTCGGACAGGGTCGAGCGATCGACCGTCGTTCAGTTGGTCAGCAAGTCAGTCAGTCGATCAATCAGCCGATCATTTGCAAATCATCAGGAGAGAATCGCAGAATGGTTTGGCAGAGGACAGAGCGGGAAGAATGTCTTCGCAGGCAAGTTTCGGGGTTGCTTCTGGACGTTCTTGGGCATGCTTGAAGTAGCAATCGCTCCGTTTTGCTCCGGAGTTGGAGGGAAGCAAACCGTTCTTGATGAAGCCGAGGAGCCGACAAAGGGGATTATAATGTACATACACACACTACACTTGAACAAGGCGCGTGATGGCGTTGCGTCTCGTTTCGTTTCATTCCCCGCTACAACTTGGCAATGCAACTCTCGACTTCATATCAACCTGAAATGAGAAGCGAAAAGAAAGCTCGAATTTCTATCTTTCCAGCAAGTCTACCCCATTTCTATCTTTCTCCGTTTCTCCAGTCTCATATTGACCTTGATCTTGATCACGTGTTTGATCATGTATAGCAACTTCATCTGCACAGTCTCAAACCGAGCCAATCCCTATCTAACTTGTTTTTCCTGGAACTCAATCACATCGATCCATCATCCACAATCGTTCAACATCTTAACCTGGTGGATGCTAGGCTATCAGAGCGCGCTTGGCAGTTTTTACCACTCATCACTACACTAAGGTCCTTGGACGTCAGTAATGCTGCTGTTCCTGGTGAGTTGCAGCCCCTTTTTCTTTCCACTGCATTATGAAAGCAGAACGGAGAAGAAATTGTTGCTCACCACTTGCTCTCTTGTGGTTGTGCGTGGATAGAATGCATCATAGCATCAACAATAGAAAGAAATCCGTATTTGGAGTTGATCGATCTATCGCATTGTAAGCAAATGAGGATTTCGACGAGCAGAAATGCCTTTCCGCTTGCTCAATCACACGATGATGATGAGAATGAATGAATTGCGGGAAGAGGACGGACTGAAAATAACGGAAGCTCGACGAGATCTTCGATGCGGCCCAGAGGAAGACCAATCAAGGGCAACGATGAGTAGCTGAAGAAGGGAGAGAGATTACAGAAGTCTAGACGCTGTAAGAGCTAGATCAGCCCTTTAGCGACGAGATGACAGGATACCAAGACGAAACCTCAGCCCTTCTTCTGCTCGGCCAAAGTGTAACTTCCCGCGGGAACGTCGTACTCGACAGAATAGGCATCTGCGTTCGTGTGACTCGAATGGTCTATGACTTTATCCACATCCGCCGAACCCTCGCTAAGGTCCAAATTCTTGCACTTTTCGTCATTCTGAACGTAGTACTTGTTGCAGAGGCCCAACTTGCTACACCATTTGCTGGTCTCACTGTTGTGCTGGCACTTGCCGTGGGTAAAGACGGTTAAGTAAGAAACTGTGAAGTAATATATCAACTCGTCCATCTCTTCACCTTGTTTGACCTTGCGGCAGTCAGGAGTACCGAGGGAGCAGACCATTTCGACCTGGTTGCACTTTTTGGAGTTTTCTTCGCAAATACCCAATGACTTCTCAAATAAAGAAGTGTACTTTCCAGGAAGCCACTCGTAGACGGCATCACGCAGCTGCTGCAAGTTGCTGACACGGGCGAGGCGAGTGTCGAGGTCGGCATCGCCAATACTGCCCGATTTCTTGTAAGGGTTGGTGTAGACCGATCCGGAGATAGCGGAGCCCATGTCTAAGAGGCCAGAAGAACGATCGAAATGGAAAACAACGTTAGCGTCTTCACATTCAAAGCGGGTTCGAGAGGTAGGAAACTGACAAGGAGCGGGCTTGATATGAACTTACCATATGCGACAGCAGCAGTAGCAAGGCCCAAGCCGAGCATAACAAAGGAAAGAGTGAGCTTGACCATTTCGACTGAGTGAGATTGAGACCGTGTGAAGAAGACTGAAGTGGAATGAGATGTCTGAATGAGAAATTGGCACTGAGCCGAGGAGGGGTTGGTGTATATCTCTTTTGCCAGCGACAAGAACGCACCAAGAAAGACACGCAACGAAGCCTCAGGGGAATGCAGCCAGAGTGTGCAGCCTACATCACAACAGCTTGCTCGAGAAGCACTCGGCAACTCGGCAGCCAAAATCGCCTTCTGGCCAATGCAAGCTTGGAGCATTCCATTGTATTGAAGGGACCTAGGAGTTCCACTTACTTTGCTCATGCCATTGTCACTGATAAAAAGTGGTTGTTTCAGCCCCGAGCGTGGGTGACAATGGGTGTAATCAGGGGTGACCAAGTGGGCAGAATGAAGGAAAGAGACGGATGACGATGCGAAAGTTCCACACGTACGGTGGAGTTGAAGATACGTCGGTATTTCTAGGGGACCAACATGTTAGATCGGAGCATTTGGGGCCAGGTGCCAACAGAGATGAGATAAAGGTGAAGCTCGTGGGAGCACATGCAACTTAATCTCGGGGATTAACACCAAGATATGAGGTATGCAGGGAGGCCTTTGACAAGGCAACGATCGAACTTTTCTTGTGCCGCATGTATTCGCACGAGAGCGTACCCAGGCGTGACAATAACCCTTTATGATGCTCGCAAGTTTCATCTCCCCCACTCTCATCTAGTTTGGCAGTACACGATCTGACTTGAAGGAGTTTGAGCCGAAACGGCTGTTGGGATTGGCCCGTGCTTGTTGAAAGTAGAACGATCCAACATGGTGATGTAAGCAGACACAAGGAGAAACGAGGGAGATCGGGCGAAGCAGATCTGATCGGAGATTAACACTCCGTTCAGAGGTTGCGCAGCATGGACACTGGTCGTTGGTGAGTGAGTGAAACACCCTCTCCTACAGTACAAGTGTTCGTAGTACTGTTGATAATGCTCTTGGATGTTGTCTGGACCACGATATGCTAATTGCCTACAGAGGACAGGAGTTACTGGACTGCAGGTGTGATTCACTGCCTACAATAACTGACTGGACCACAGGTGTCAAGCAACACCACCTACAGCAAGGGACTGGACCGCAAGTGTTGAAGAACACTGCCTACAGTTGTTGACCAATGGTGATACAACACACATGTTGAGAGTCATTGCAAGAGCACTGCTATTGCAATGGTATGTAACTGAGTAAGTAAGTAAAGTAGATAGAGTATGTAGAGTGGATGAGGATCCACTTGTATGCTATGGTAGAATGAGAGTATTTATGCATTTGATTGGTGTCACCTGTGACACCTATCCTGCTCCTCCTGAGGGGCCTTCATCCCCTTTTTGACACTATTGTCCTGCTGGCATCAATCCCATTGATACTGCACCCCTACCATTTGCATGGCATAAGGGTTATGCAACACTGCCCTCTTGCCTTCATGCTCTCCTTCTGCCTGATGATGTGTGATGACCCCTTTCGACACAGCTCCTTCTCGACCTTGTCTTGTGAATCCCTTTAGCCACTTGTTGAACCTTGTGACCAAACCCCTTGGTCATGTGGTCACCCCTGTGCTTGGGCCTGTGTGACTTTATGCACACATCCCTTGAGCAGTAACTGTCCACGTGATACTGAGCTCAGTGTCATGGGCCTGGATGCTCAAGAAGCAGGAGGGTCACTGGTTCATATGGAAGGAGCACAGGTATCGAAGACCTAGTCGACACCAGTAGAGAGCATGGTCGTAGTGCAGTCTCCATGGAGACCATGGACTCCTATGGACTCACATGCAAAGGAGGGCCAAGCACAGCCACGAGGAGGACCAAGCTCAAGGAGCAGGCACAGCCACGAAGAGGACCAAGCTCAAGGAGCATGCAGATGGTTACCACTCAGGGGCTCGAGAGACAAGAGCCAAAGGAACTGTCACTGATCAAAGGAGGAGGAGCAGTGTCGAAGGAGTCGACACCAGGTCATGAGGAGGAGGAGCTGTGTCGACCAAGAGGCACAGGGGTGCCAAGCAGGAGAGGCCCCTGAGCAGTACTCGATGAAGAAGGTACTCTATGGAGAGAGAGCAGGAGCAGCATCGCTGGCGATGCTGAGAAGAGGTATATAACCATGCTTTCTCATCATCATAGGTCGAGTGGATCCTCATCCACTCTACTCACCATACAACTAGTCAATACTTTAGAAACACAAGTACTCATTAGTTACAGTCAGCATAGCAGCAATCTATCAAGGTTGCTCCTCATCGTAGTGTGTGTGTTGTATCACCACTACCTGACGTCCGAAGGCGCCCATAGCAGGTTAGCGGTCCGGATATAGATAGAACCGAAGGCAGTAGTCCACTGCGGTCCGGGGATCACTTCAAAGCATCAAGTCAACACACTGGACACTCGTGTTGACGCCACCAACCTTATCACCAACACCATCAACCTCATTATCATCGACATCACCAATCTTATCATCAACACCATCAACTTCATTATCATCGACATCACCAATCTCATCACCAACACCATCAACCTCATCATCATCAACACCCACACCAGACCTTGGTGTCATCATAACATTGATATTGATCGTGCCGAGCTACCCCTGAACGGAGTGTCCACAGAGGTCAGCCGAAACCTACGATAGTATATACAACGAACGCCACCTGCTGTCACTGCACAACTTGATAGTCACCGATACCGAGACAATAGCTGTCACACAGTTTAATAGTCACCGAGTATCTCGACAGACCGACCTGGGTTTCAGGCGCGAGACCCCTGACATTAGAGTGGATGGTTCAAGCAGCTCCTCACGATCACCATGACGGACCCAGACCTCAACAATAAGCTTGATAGACTACTCACTCTATTGGAAGCACAGCTAGAGCTTACCAGACAGGGTCATCGAGAGGAACGATTACAACGAGCTGAACTGAGCAGGGAGGAGACAATGGACCTCTCTCACTCAGAAGACCAAGCAGGAGGAGGAGATGAGTCTATGATAGGAGACCCACATACTCCTACTCCGGCTCCACAACCAAGACGATCAGTCTCATTCAACCTGGATGAGCAGGAGGACATCAACTACAAGAAGTATGCTTCACCTACTGGGCCAAGATATGTCAAGACTAAGCTGGACCCCTACAGCAGGACTAGGACGGACCCTTACCCCCTGGACCACGAGGAGGATACCAGCATCATGGCAGAGCTTAACCAGTCAAAGCCCATTGCCACCCCCTTTCCAAAGTTCAATCCCCGAGACATGGAGATCTTCATTCTAGAAGCCGAAGCATGGTTTAAGTTCAACCAGGTGTATGAGCAGTCTAGGATGATCAATCACATGGGTGCTCAACTGGAAGGGACAGCAAGAGAGTGGTGGACCTCCAAGCTCCGTATTGATAGAGCTAGAGAAGGAAGGTTGTTCAATGATTGGCACTACTTCACAGAGCGACTGTCAGAGCAGTTCAACCCACGCAATGCTAGGATGGAGGCATACAACAAGCTGTTGGCTCTCAGACTCACAAGTGATACTCCTGGTGCCGCCACACGTCATGTAGAGCGGTTCAGAGACTTGGAAGGACAGGTCAACCTAGATGACAATGAGCTAGTGATTGATCTCTTCAGAGGTAGTCTCACTCGTAGCATACAGGAGAAGTTCGAGAGGAATCCACCTGGGAAGAGATGGGAGTGGTATCGAGAGGTCGAGGAGATCGATCGACAGAGGATGCTACTACAGCAGTCCTCGGCTAGACACTCACTTCCAAATGCCACGTCACCTCCACTAAGAACTGGGTCTCGGCCAAATCAAAGTTCAATCCCCATCCGACAACCCACTCAACCTTATCCAGCTCGATCACCATCACAAGCAACTACACAAGCAACTATACAAAACCTAAACCGACCCCTTCCTCATCATCCCACCCAACCCTCGAAGCAAGGAAGCCCTGCTCCATCAGGTATCAACACCTGTCATGTATGCAAAGGTATTGGCCATTGGGCCAGAGACTGCCCCAACAGGAGGGTAGACCCTCTTAGCTCTCGACCCATGGGACCAAAGGTTATGGTCACCACAGCAGACCCCTTCAAGGAGGCCACCGACTCAGGAGATGGCCACACAGGCAGCACTGAGACGGGTGACCCTGAGGCCATGGACCTCAGCTCATACCAGCAACCCATGGACCCCGATCACGAGGAGGAGCACAATGATGATGACGATGAGGGAAACGTCAGTGGGGTGATGCACTGATGGCATGCATTGCTCTACAAACCTCCTCGCCATCACTCTGTATATATCAAGATTGTCAAGTATGTTTCTCTACCAGTGGAGGCAAAGCAGTACTGGAGCTCTCTGGAATGGTTCAAGACCATCCTGCTCGGATACTAGCTGATACCGGTGCTGGTTTGTCCATAGTCTCAGATTCTTTCATTAGTAAGTACCAAATACCCACAAAACCCATAAAAACAAGATCGATCCATGGTGTCACCGGGCACCAACTCTCCATCAATAGTTCTGCGAGCATGCAGGTATCTATTGGTACACACAATCTGGGTGTGGTCGAAGCTTCAGTGGCCGACACTGCGGACTATGACCTCATCCTGGGGTTCACTGAGCTACGGAGGCTCAAGCCCACCATACAATGGGATACGGGCCAGCTGGAGTTCAAGACTCAGGAGCAGGACCGACCCCCTAGGAGACCCCCTGAAGCAGCAAGAGCAGGGGACCTAACCATGAGGAGACCAACCCTTCATGGTAACGAGTTTGTCTCAGCAGAGCGCATACTACGAGCAGCTCTGGAAGATGGACCCATAGGGTTCATGCTGTTAGAGGAGCCACCATCATCACTCCCAGCCTTTGGTTTTGTACCTACAGGCGCAGACAAAGGAGTCGAGATGGAGGTGGAGGTAGATAAGGTGGTGACGGCTGCAGACATACCAAAGCCATACCAACACCTGCGAGATGTGTTTGATGAGGTGGAAGCAGACAAGCTGCCCCATCATACCGAG